TTGTTTTGGCGCGTCTGTGTGCATGTGTGTATGTGTGTTGTGTTCCGCATATTTGTACCTTCATGACTCCATAACGCCTTTATGGATTGTGATGATATTTGGTATGCTGGTAGGTCTTAGGAGGACAAAGGTCAAGGTCAAATATGGGCCTCCTGGTGGATGGCCTTGGTACTGCAGCAGCGGTTTAAGGTTGAGTCAGGGCATGGCTGAGAGGAATCTCCTTTGTACTTGCGAGCCAGGGTAACAGATGTGGCTATGCCCAGCGAGGCAGCGCGCTCCCTCAGGGGAATAGGTGACCTATTTCAGGGCAAATGTGCCACTGTATGGCTGTGTGTTTGAAAACAAACAACCTGTGTTATTACCTCCATGAAAATGGAGGTATTGTTTTTGTTGCGTCTGTCTGTCTGTCTGTCTGTCTGTGTGTTTGTGTCTCCGCACATTTGCGGCCAGCATAACTTCATAACGCCTTTATGGATTGTGATGATATTTGGTATGCTGGTCTTAGGAAGACGAAGGTCAAGGTCAAATATACGCCTCCTGGTGGATGACCTTGGTACTGCAGCAGAACTTCCGGTTTTTGTATCTTTTGTCCTGAATATGCTATGGTCTTGATTTTTTGGTGGCAGATAGATTGTCCTGTCTAGTAAGTGGTGTGGGTTTGGTCCCCCCTAGCAGCTTGTTCTGGAACTGCAGGGGACTTTCGGGCGAAATCTTTAAAAGCCAATAAGTCCAGATAGAAACAATGTATTTTCATCATTTTTGGTAGGTAGGTAGCTGAGAGAGAGATGTACATAATTAACTGCAAATTATGCAAATGAGGACTTAATTTGCATAATTAATGAGGAAATTCTATAATTACAGTGTTTTGCATTATAGTACTTTCATACATGTAATGTACTAGTATGTAATCTATGGCAGATGGAACATCACCAGATACCAATTATGCAAATGATGACCTAATTTGCATAATTAATGCGAAAATTCTATGACTCCTTAGTGGTAAATGATGGGAATTTCATACTTGGTACATGTGTAAGTTAATCAAGAGTTAACATCACCATGCATTTATTATGTTAATGTGGAGGTAATTTGCATAATTAAAGAAGAAATTAACATTTACATGTCAAGCCCATATTTCATGGAGGTATGAGATCTCGGAACTCTTGTTTTTACAAAGATACAACGACACGCACTTTAAATCTCGACAGCTTTACTTTACACTTTTGACGAGATTGTAACTACTACTAACGGAAGCAAAATTTTCACGGCCTGAGAAAAATGGACATGTTCACGGAAGTATATATTCACGGTGGTGACAGTTGCAGGAAAAAGAAAGTCCAGGAATTATTTCCTAACTGTAATGATAAGTTCACAATACAGAGGTGACAGTGAAAACCGTGAACATTGACCCCCCGCTTGCGTTGCGGTACAGTGAAAAAAAATCGGGAATTACAGCAATCAATTTACTGAGTATGTTTGCTTAGTTTCCAGATGTTTTGTACTTGTAGTTTTTAAATGAACGAAAACCGATGCGCGCACTAGATGTTACTTTTGTGACTAACATCAAAGTGATTTTGGTTGTATGTTGAAAAAATACAAAAGACTAACATTCGAAGTTATTGAAATTCTTGAGTAAGAACAATCAGTTTTGGAATGTTAAAAGCAAAGCAATGGATATTAAAACGAAAATGTTAAAATTAAATGTTGAAATTGTTAAAATGTAAAATGGTTAAAATTGTTGAAATTGTTAAAAATGTTAAAATTGTTAAAAATTGTAAAAAGGATAATTAAAAATATCCAGTGTACCGGGGTTCGAACTCGTAATGTCTGGACTTGCAGCCCTGCGCGTAACCAACCGAGCTATCTGGACACGTTTCCATTACTCTCTGCATTGTATGTCATATAAAGTGAACAACATGGCGGTAATGATCGCTTCAAGTACTAGTAAGGGACTTTCTAGGAGATACACTCTACAATTTTGGTGATTCTTCAGAAATCGATAACAGAATATATAATACTAGTCGGTGAAGATTGTGGAAAATTGTTGATACCGTGGCGCGCGCTTGCGCCGACGATCGTAACACATTACGTACCGTTGTTTACAGTACTCGCGGGGCGCAGGTCATTGACCTCCCGCTTGCGTTGTTCCAACAGAGAAGAGCAAAATATCTGCCAGTTTTTGCGTCAGATTTTCAGTGTTTGTTAAAATCATATACAGGCATCCATGCAGCTATAATTCTTCCAACTAGTTCGTAGTTAGGTGAAATGTTTATAGGAATCACACGAATCGGTATCCAATATCAGAGTATCATGGCCCACGGCCGAGACCGCGTGGACCAGCTGCGCTGGTACGTGAAAATGGTAGTAAATAAATTAATTAGCCAACAGCCAATCAACAGCCACATCTGCAAACATGACCACACCTGCTTGTATGCCCATATTTGGGCCTTCCCCCGAATTCCTTTCTTATTACGTCACGCGCGTATGCCCCCACAGTACTTTCCTATGGGGACCACTAAAAAGCAAATAAAACGATTGTAAAAGCTTGTTTAAAAAAAATTTAAAAAACGCCTAAGGGTATTTACCCACTCTACCTCTATACGAAATTACAGGTAATTTCGCCCAAAAATGAAGGAGTTGAATCAATTTAAAGAAGTGGCAGGAGGAGGAGGAGAAGGAGAAGAAACATCAGAAAAAGCAATATGGGTTCACCACCACTTCGTGGTGTGGTGAACCCATAATTAGAATTGTAACATTTGCATTTAGTAAATGCATACTGTCTATACCTTGAAAGTTCGCATATGGTCTGCTCTGTTAATTCTGTATACATGTAGTCAGACGGGAGTCTACATGTGTGTAAATCCCTCCTGCTATAAAATTGCAACATGATGTAACGGTTTTGTAACCCAACACCTGAGTTACCATGGTCACAGACGTCTGGTTCAGGTCATTGACCTTATTTGTTTGGAGGAGAAGGAGAAGAAGAAGAGGAAACAGAGTAAAAACAATATGTTTTCTGAACTTTTCAAGCCTGTGTTTTCAGCAACCACATGCAAGATATGCATGAAAATAGTATAATCATGATCTCAACAATTTTTAAGAAAAGTGTCAGATAGACATACCTTGTATACAAATTGATAGTGAAATACATGTATTCTTGGATACAGATTAATTCTTAAGACGTCAAAGAAAAATTTGTAGCCTGGAATTCGAAGGTGCTTCTTATTAATTACCTCATGGGCAATATATGCTGTGAAGATAATGGTTAAAAATGGTTTATCTTAAAATAAATATGTGTTCCTTAAGAGACTAATTTTACCTGGGGATCCCCCTTCCGGATCATCCTTGTTCCTTGGTCCGACCGTCTGGAGGAACTTGAACATGTACTGAGTCTTCCAGTCCTTGTCCTGGTTAAACATGTTGATCTGTGGTCCCTCGTTGGCAGCTCTGGGACTGTACTTCAGACGGATCTGTAGCAGAACAAGATTGGGTCAGACTAAAGCAATATATAGGAGCTGTACTATTACTAGTATTAGTGTAGCCCTCAGCCTATGACAGATTTTTTCTAGTCCCAATTGGAGCTAACTCCATGCAAGTATAATATACAAATTATTATTATATGGTTCACATCACCTTCAAAAAGAATTGCTAGCTCCTTTCGCTATTGATACATATTATACTTCAGACGAATCTGCAGCAAAACAATATTGGCCAGTACTTCATTTGATTTTATCAATTGAATCTGTATAGAAAAGAAAACGTGTGTGACTTGACATTGTGTAAGTTGTGCATAGTCTGTATAGCACTTTCTCTAAGATCTTTGTGATTGTTATTTTTATTCAGTGTCACAAGACATAAAAAGCTGAAACCTCAAATCCTACTCAATCCCTTTGTTTTTGCAAGATAGAAACATGAAATATGTAGTAACTTATCAGGACTTGAACCATGCGTGTACATGTAATTTCTAAAATAATAATCTTAAGTTTGTTTTTTGCTGTTGTTTTGAGTGAGTGAGAGAGTGAGAGAGTGAGTGAGTGAGTGAGTGACTGTTTTTTGTTGTTTGTTTGAATTTCAGCCTCCTCCCTTGTATCACAGGACCATGAATATTGGACTACAGGACAACTTGAATTCTTCAGGAATGATTTAATTAAATTAACAAACACTCCCTCTGAGTAAAGAGACTCTTTTCACAAACACTCCCTCTGGTTTTAAGCCAATGAAAGTGCTGAGACTGTGAGAGAGCTCCATAAGGCTAAACATTAACCACATTGTTCATTGACTACACATGCACTGCTGGCTTATCTAGAACTGGAGCACCTTTGGAACTATGATAATTAGATTTTTGTACTGCAAGGGAAGTTACTGTTCTTGGTACAATGTAAGTCACTGAACAATGTGCGAAAGAGACTGTTCATACATACAGCTGTAATTCAGTCAAAGATTTATTCAGTCAAAGCTTCAGTGTCCATCTTTCACCTTCTTTGGGGCAATTCTGACTGGTTCACATTGCACAGCACAGGTGTTGCTGTAATAGATGCATTTACCAAATGTAAAGTCTTTACATATCTACACAGTTAAAGGGAACCTGTCAGAATTACCCTTAGGCCACAACAATTTAATTTGTTGGTTCTCGGATTTTTTCAGAAAAAATATGAAGCAACACAAAAAGGTCTAGACATCCTATTATAGCCCCAAATTCTACATTTGTACGATAGGAGCCATGAAGTCAACACAAAAGGCTGGGTTAATATTCAAACAATGAATTTTAAACTTTCAATCAAACCATTGCATTGATATATGGAAAAACTGTAACAACTTGAGGAAGAAAAGAACTTTCCTCAACTGTTGGGGGTAAAATATGAGCATTTTTGAGTTGATTCAGAGCCAGAAATTTGTTTTATTTTTTTTTTAAATCAGAAAAAAATGAGGCAGCGAATCCGAGAACCAACAAATTAAATTGGTGTGGCCTTAGTCAAGATCAAGGATAATATCAATACACGGATCTCACCTTGTAGATGATGTCATCTGGTATGGCTGTTTCGTTGGGAAAGTCGTTGATGAAAGCGACCCCTCCCAGCACTTTTACCTGCAGGGTTTCCTCTTTCTCCATCGCGTTGTGAACATACGTCTGTAAAACTGATTCATTCTGGAATCCTCGAACTGTGTTTGGGGGAAAAGAGAAAGACAATTCTGATTTAGTTCTGAGTCTTTCCAAAGTTACTGTTGCTTTTATATTAAAGTTCAGACATTTGATCCAAAACTTATTTATTGTAACAAATGGCAAACACATGGAAATAACTACCCTGGGAGCCCCGGCCCTTTACATAGACTTTGTATAGGCAGTTCCTTTTGGTGGCCCAAAGCAGTATGCCTGCCTAATTCTTTTTCAAATTACCGCTACGGGGTTGAGCCCATGGTACCAGCCAACTCTCAGACTCAACTTCCCCGTAGCGGATATTTTGATTCTGTTTTGCATAATTTGTACTTCATCATGTACATATCTATGTAAATAAGCTATGCACAATCCAAAAATCATGAAACTCAGTTGTTCCTGTCTTCTGAATTATCCTCTTTGAAAAATTCTAACAAAAATGCCCCTGCAGTTCCAAAAGTTAATCCTAGGTGGCCAAAACTTATGTCTTCTTCTCATTAGCACAAGAGCTATCCTTCCCAGTGTAGGAAATAACAGGTGAAATGCTGGTGTGTTACGCTGAAGGGCTGTTATACCGGTTATACCAAAACAGATGCATACAGAAGTGATGAACATGATATGTACTAACCTTGCACTTGTAACTTGGCTGCAACAATGTCCATGACTGTCTTGACTGCTGTGTTGTTAGGTGAATACGCCACCTCCCATGTCTCAAAGATTAGAGTCTCCGGCAGTCTATCCACGGTAAACTCGGGGTAATATATGGGAGTATCCCGCGGGATGGACTCTACGTCGTGACGGACGAACACCAGAATCAAGGCGAACAGCGCCGGCAGTCCGATCTCAAAAATGGTGACGATTTTTTTCCTCTTCTGCAGAAGGTAGTTCTTCCACAGAAGAAGTTTGAACTGTGTCCAAGCCTGCATTTTTGTTTTCTGTGCTTAGACTATCTCCTGAGTTAGAAAGTTGACAGAAGTTGACAGTCAGCTACTGTAACACATAGGCTATCGCACCCTGCAAAACACAGTAATGAGAATGAGGGAGGTTATAAAACATACACCAAACCTTACACAGATTATATCGGTCAAATACTTTAATACTGAACCGATATACATGTACATATATTATATTATATGCTTATAATTACTCTACTAGGTAACATAGTGAATATGCTTGCATTCGTCTAGAATTATATTATTTATAGAGTAATATCTAGAGAACTTCCAAAATATAAAATGTTGTCGTGTCACAAGACTATGTAACATGATTAGTATAGACTATAGTCATATATAGAGAAATGTGAAGGTTATACAGGTTATACATCTATTCCTTCCTCAAGAATATTGCAAGGTATTCTAAGCTATTGCCAAGGTATGCTAAAACAATTAACAATGTGTCAGTCATAGGGGGGCATAGGGGTGTAATCAATGTCAATTTTTGTTACCTCGTACTCCATTGACAAAGTAACTACAAAGCAATCTCATTGCAATAAGAAAATACACCACAAAATAGCTCAAGTGAAAACTCAGAACATACTAAGTGCTTACCTGTTCACCGGTTGTTCACCATTGTCTTCAATGAAAGCTGACGTAACAATGGGGCAGTTCACAGTTACGGAATCCCCTCGTGACTACCTTGAGGCTCCAATCTTTAGTTTACGCAATGCCAATGTTGACCTACGCGACCGTTTACCTGTGTTTTAAGCACGTGATGAGTACTGACTCTCCCTTATTTATGTGGGTCGCCAGAGTTCGAGTTAATCATTAAAATCCAAGTCAGTCGAATGTCTGGCCGTTGTTTTGCACAAAAACAGTCTTGGAAATTTAAGTAAATATATCTAAGCAGTTCAGTACAGTTTATTACCTGATCCGGCGTCGTTTTCCGACTTTTTGAGACGCCGGTTTTCTTTCCTTGCCTTGTTGAGAAATTGACCGCCAGGTCATTTGAGATCATTGGAATAGTATATTTCTTTTAAAGGGATGATAATAATTTTTTTCAGCAAGATAAGTCATATTTTCTCCTCAAGAATACTTAGTGTTAATTTAAAAAAATAGGAATCATATGGTTATTACAGATATAAATCTTTAATAGCTATAATTACTCATATAGTAATGGATTTCGAAAGATTTATTGATGGATGTCCCCTAGATATGTTGTGAACCATTCCGTTCTTTATACCGATTACGCAACTGGCTTCCGGGTAATCAGTTTGATCATAAATCGCTAGATGTCGCTGCTGCACTACTACCCTGACGGCTGAACTTTGACACCACCGCTGGAGAAACGTGCAGACCCAGCAGCAAACCGATCGGTGTTTACATGTGCACGATGACTTTCATTTTCACCTCTGTGGAGCTGCAGTAGTTTGTCGATTTTATTAAAGAGGTAAAGCAAGAAAATGGCAACTTCATCAAAAGCTGGTAAGGAAAAGGCGCTTGTGATATATGGATTTATTTGCGAGGTGGGGAGGGGGGGCATATATAATTTTTTGTTAGCTTTGTTAGATCTTTAGTTAAGTTGTAGAAGACCATACAAAACTCACCCAGTGTGTATATAGCCACGGCGTTTAATAATTTGTGATTTTATCTCACAGATGAAGCCACAGACAACATGTCAGGTGTACGGCATGTGGTGCTGGTTCTGTCAGGAAAGGGAGGTGTTGGGAAGAGCACAGTCGCCGCTCAACTGGCACTGGCACTCAGGCAGGCAGGGAAAAAGGTCAGCAAGAACATTATGGAAGATGATTTTAATACAGTCTCCTTTTCAATTTCATACAAAATATAGAGGCATGTGTTCTAGGGCTTGTTTTGTTTTCTGGTTTCCAACTATTACTTTATGTACAATTTTCTACATGGCATTCAACTGTAACAGAAGAGAAAGGAGTAACTCGAAGGTTGATTCTGACCCCCGGGATCGAACCCATGCCGCTCGTGCTCGCAACCAGCGCACCAACCGATTCGGCCAAAAGGTCCTGAGGACCCATTGGGCCAGGTAGTTAGTGGCGCCTATGTACTTGCTGTTACATAACAATCCCCAGGTGGCTGGGTGCTAGTCTATCTCTGTACATTTTCACCTTGTTTCTGTATGTCTACAGGTAGGACTACTAGATATAGACCTCTGTGGCCCCAGCATCCCCAGGATGTTTGATGTGGAAGGACATGACGTGCACCAGTGCCCAGATGGCTGGGCGCCAGTCTATCTCTGTACATTTTCACCTTGTTTCTGTATGTCTACTGGTAGGAATACTAGATATAGACCTCTGTGGCCCCAGCATCCCCAGGATGTTTGATGTGGAAGGACATGACGTGCACCAGTGGCTGGGTGCCAGTCTATCTCTGTACATTATCACCTTATTTCTGTACATCTACAGGTAGGAATACTAGATGTAGGCCTCTGTGGGCCCAGCATCCAAAGGATGTTTAATGTTGAGGGGCATGACGTCCACCAGTCCCCAGATGGCTGGGCGCCAGTCTATCTCTGTACATTTTCACCTTGTTTCTGTATGTCTACTGGTAGGAATACTAGATATAGACCTCTGTGGCCCCAGCATCCCCAGGATGTTTGATGTAGAGGGACATGACGTCCACCAGTGCCCGGGCGGCTGGGTGCCAGTCTATCTCTGTACATTATCACCTTGTTTCTGTACATCTACAGGTAGGGATACTAGATATAGACCTCTGTGGACCCAGCATCCCCAGGATGTTTGATGTGGAAGGACATGACGTGCACCAGTGGCTGGGTGCCAGTCTATCCCTGTACATTTTCACCTTGTCTCTTGCCGTACATTGTATCTCTACAGGTAGGAATACTCGATATAGACCTGTGTGGCCCCAGCATCCCCAGGATGTTTGATGTGGAAGGACATGATGTCACCCAGATGGCTGGGTGCCAGTCTATCCCTGTACATTTTCACCTTGTTTCTGTACATCTACAGGTAGGAATACTAGATATAGACCTCTGTGGCCCCAGCATCCCCAGGATGTTTGATGTGGAAGGACATGACGTGCACCAGTTGCTGGGTGCCAGTCTATCTCTGTACATTATTTTTATCACCTTATTTCTGTACATCTACAAGTAGGAATACTAGATATAGACCTCTGTGGCCCCAGCATCCCCAGGATGTTCCATGTAGAGGGACATGACGTCCACCAGTGGCTGGGTGCCAGTCTATCTCTGTACATTATCACCTTATTTCTGTACATCTACAGGTAGGAATACTAGATATAGACCTGTGTGGCCCCAGCATCCCCAGGATGTTTGATGTGGAGGGTCATGACGTCCACCAGTGGCTGGGTGCCAGTCTAGCCTGTGTATACACAAGCTCTCGGCTGGAGGTTAATGACCCCCACCCCAAGAGCTTGTGGCAGAATAGCTGTAAGTCGGGCGGCCCGTTCCCTTTCCTGGAGTCACCAATAGGAAGCCAGTATTTAAGGAATTAATGTGGGAACCGACTGGGCCGGCGCCAGGCAGCCGGAGAAGGGCGGAGTACCGGGCGGGGACAAGAAATTTGATCGACTGCGCTGCAGGTGGGAATTTCTCAGAAAAATGGCTGCGACTAGCCCGAAACCGAGTTTCTGTGCATTCTGGAGTCTGTGTGTGTGGACTTTGGGAGTCCCTGGCCCCTAGAGCCGCTTCAGGAATAGACGATACAATTTTTTCGTTAAACAGAGAAACGACGTGTTTTCGTGTCTTCCTACCGGCTATGAGAAGACCGAGATCGTGAAACAGTGCAGAGCAAGCGAAAACGGCGGGTTGACGACTGTGATTCTTGTGCCACGATGTTGACTCCTGTCAAATTGTCGATACTTTATAATTGCTGGAATCTAAAATTTTACTGGCTTCTCCTCAGCGGGAGTTGTTTATTGTTTTGATCGGTAAAACGCAGGGTAAAATACGCTAGAAACTAGAGAGGCCGACATTTGCTTGGGAGCAAATACAGCATATTTCAGTCCATCTCCCTCCCACGCAAAAGTGGACTATTCCAAACTTACCCCAGTGTAAAACTGGCAAAGATTCTCAAATAAATGAATTATATAGTAGCTATGTAATTGAGAACAAAGATGCAAGAACAAGCACATTGAATCTCGAAAGCTTTACTAATCTTATTACAGGTATGCAAATACTAACAGATTTGATACATTTTGAAGGTCTTAGGCACATAAAATTGAATGTGTGGGTCATTACGCACGACTTACGTGCAATGTGACCCCAGGTAACCCGCAATGGAACACGTGTTCCATGGATGGAACCGGCCATTCTTTAGATAGAACATGGAACGGGTACAGCACTTTTGGCCCTTTTTTTTGCTGAAAATAGCCATTAAAGTCCCCCAAATGAGTCATTTGGAAGTTGTGTATGCCAATTATGTTTAACTTACTGCTATTCCGTAGACACACGTTCAAGGTACCCTAATACCGAATTTCAGATCATTTGGTTGTAAAACCAGGGCTCAGGATCCAAAAATCCATTTTTTGGCGAAAAATGCCCCAAAAAACCTTAATAAAAATTTTTCAAAGGCATGTATAAAAAAAATGAAAAAAACGCCTGGGGGTATTGGCCCACTCTACCTCCGTGCCAAATTTCAAGTCATTTGGCTGAATGATGGTGGAGTTGAATCCCTTTGACTGTTTGGCAGGAGGAGAAGGAGAAGAAGAAACATGAGAGAACACAATATATTTCATCCATACCATGGTATGGACTGAAATATAATTAATTACTTTGTAGGGTAAAAGAAAACTCACGCCGAGAGCGAGGTCCACACTTCCGGGTTCAGCGACGACAAAATGGCACGAAAAACGTTAAAAATCCGCATAGAAGTATATAATTTTGAGACTGATTCTTGAAACTATGCATTTCTTCACTAGAATATCGATGTGTGGTTGTGGAAAATAGCATTTTAGCGCTTATATCGAAGAAAGAAAAGTTGATTACACGCGCGTCGGCTCGGTCAATTTTCAATACCGCCGGCGCTGCCGGAAGCGGACGCTACAACTAATCAGAGATGCGAAATGTGGACATAGCTGAGTGAAAATCGTGACGCCAAATACAAATCCGTGGATGAGATTCTTTTCTCTCGGTGTGGNTGTAAAAACAAGCAGCACTTTAATTATGGAAAAACACTTTAATTATGGACTCCTCGCTAATAACTCTAAATTGCTTTACCCAATTAGGTTTATATTTTTTCTGAGTACATAGTAGAAGGTGACAAATATGTGGAATGTGTTAATTAGTCCCTAGGGTATAGTCCAATTATACATAATTATACATGATTATACTATATTTATCTATAATCATGTATGATTATACATATTAGTTTTTCCATTATACATAATTATGTCTATCCCTTTTGATCATTATACATAATTATGTATATCCCTCTTGATCATTATACATAACTATGTATATCCCTTTTGATCATTATACATAATTATGTATATCCTTTTAACCATTATACATAATTATGCATATCCCTTTTAACCATTATATATAACTATGCATATCCATTTTGGTTATTATATATAATTATGCATATAAATTTTTACCATTATACCATATATATGACTTTTGGCTATTATTCATAACGATATATAACCCTCATGACCACTATGTATAACTATAGCCATTTCATTGTTATGAACAATAGTAATAAAATAGGTGTAACAAGTCGTTTGGTGTAATGTAGCCAGCTGCCGCCGCGCCGCATGCCTGCGAAGCTGGTGTGTTACGCCGAGAGGCAACTATACCATCTAAACAAATACAGATACAGAATTAGATAAGGTTATATTTTGGTGTCATGTGGTCTTTAATA